GGACCTGTTGACAAGATAAACATCCAAGGATCCAAGCAAGAAACCTACCGCTGGACACCGCTGTCGACTGGCCTCAGACCTGCACCTCCGTTGGTGGTGTGCAAAGGATCGTTCAGCCTGGACGGCCTTCAGCGCGGCGCATATAGCGCGCGCCGCTTAATGGACCCTGGCGAGAGTAGAGAGAAATGTAGAGAAGAGAGATAACCCGACGCATGCGGAAGTTGAGCCACTTTGGTGGCAAGACGGCTCGCGTAACGCGTTAACATACATACATACTTAATGTTTACGTGTAACTAGATGCCCTGTTACATCTTTAGCCTGGTCGACGATGGCTCGTGACAGCATTAGATCAGCCATATTAGACTTATCATACGTTGTTGACATCTCTACTATCTTCTCGGGCGTGTCAACATAATTCGTTTAAGACGCCGCGACACTTAAGGTCGAATCTATCTTCTGCGGTGAGAGATGACACTAGCATACCGCTAAATTGTGTCATCGAGTGTCATACTAACACAGTCGTGTACGCATATCTTTCAGATGGCCTTTAATATTGTCGCTGTTTAGTCTACATCGTGCATCTTCCAGTTTAACGTACAAGCGTCGCTTTGTAAAAGCTCGAGTCAGGTCATTTACAAAACCATCGAATCTATTGCGTAGGGACGTCCACATAGAAATCCCATGGGTCTGCCGCATCAGGTGTTGACCGGGACCCGTGTTACCGACGCGTAATCACTCCCTGTTAGGTTCTCTAGATATCTATTATGCAACATATAAGATCGCCAGTTTGGATCGTACATCATAGTCTCAGTAGCGATTCGAAACAAGTCCTCATGGTGGAACGCTATCCCCATCAATCTTCAATGATTTGACCAGAATTATTTCGACAGACTGGACGTCGATCTTTTCCGATACTTCCACTTTTCAAGACGGTTTGTTTGGGCTAATAATCCTATTAGAAGCTGACTATCAGCGACTTCCTTGATATAGAAAGCTTGATTGGCTTGTTACTTCCTCTGGCGCCCCTGAAGCTACTCTCTCTTCTTCTGACTCTGCAAATTTGACACTGAGCTATCGTTTTCTGCAAATCAACTGCATTGAACTCATTCAACATGGCTAACTAACTGCCTTAAAGGCATTAACTGCCTTGAAGTCATAAAAAACACCTGCCTTGAAGTCATAAAAACTGCCTTAAAGTCATCAGCCGCAACCACTATTCAGTGTCGTCACTTGATAAAAAATATTACGATAGCTTTGCTAGTATCGGCAACACCCTAGTTTTGTTAGAGATAGACGAGAGACAGAGCGAGTTAGATGCTGTCATTGTCAGCAACTTAATTGTCGGGCCATCAGCTCAATATAGATCAGTACATCTCGACACATCGTCGATATTATTCAAGGAGACTATCTTTGTGAGTATCGTAGTATACGTGCTACCTGCACGAGCCCTCACATCAATAATCGACATTGCACATATCCCTTCCAAGCAAGTATTGTGTAGATCAAGCACCTGATGGGGGATTGTTGCTTGATAGTATGTGGTTTCGTAACGATCCCGTTATATGTTTGTGGTGCTTACATTGTCGAATGTGTAAGTATAGAATCTTTTGTGGATGATGCCTCGAATGATCATTGAAATGCTATCGAGGCAAAGATAGGGTATAATACTGGAGTAGTTGGCATATGATCAAGCAGTTGTTAAGACATGACTATATGACTATTCGACGTGCTAATCATTAACGAGACGTGCTACGGTTTGGATGGTATGTAGACAATCTCAGTCGCTGCTAGATTACAAGAAGCAATAATATGCTGTTAGCTAGTGTAAGTACTGTACGTATGCTGACTGAATTTCATTTAGAGCAACTGACAGCAAACAAACCCATTTAATTCACTTCGTGCGATAATCCAGGTGTCTCTGTTCCAAGCTTATGGGAGGCCGCGTATTTTCTATTGACATTTTACCGTGGGTGTAACAACAGGTAAGTACTCTATCAAACTACATTTCTCGACGTATGGCTAATGCTTGAATATTCATCTTTTTGCTTTCGTTGAGTAGACATTGCTAACATCAGTTTTCAGTAGCAACAAACGGACAGTCGGACAAGAGGCGCATAGATACGTGCGCAGAGTAAGCCTTTTCCTCGGTAGTGGAACGACAGATGACGGCGTCAAATCGACGGATACCATTCCCCAAAGGAGAGTCCATTTTTATAATCGTATGTGTTTCGGTGCTTCACTCTGCGTTGCCGTGTTCAGATCGAGGAAGTTTCTAAAGAATTGAAGTAAACGCCGCTTAAAAGGTGGCTTCACAGGACGAGGGATTGAGAGCTTGAACCTCTGGCTCAAAAACTTTCACGATGGCCCACTTGTGACCTGATATACTTAGTAATGACATAAGGAAGCTTAACATTGAGAAGCTTACGACTCTTATATCTTGTCGTTGGGAGCCAATTCTCTAGGAATGATGAATGCGACGAAACGGACAGCACTGCGCTCATGATGCTTTTTGACTGGGAGCCTTGGACCTGCTCACCCGTATGTAGTCAGTTATTCACTAATCGATGTTGTTGGAGGTATGTTGGGCGTGAATTTGTGCTTGATTCGTCGGAGTGCAGCGGAGACATTCATCAGTTCTCTGTCGCTTTGTGGGGTGACCAAATAACAGAGAAGATGTCCACTGACTCATAAAATCTGCTGTATGACCTGTCGAATGGATCGAAAAAAGGGTGATGTAGTCACAAAGGCGCAAAGGTACGAAGGCATGAAGGTGACCGTATCATAACACTTTTTCCTAGCCATCGGCATTTGCTGCCAGTTTGTCAGCTACATTGTAAAAGTAGTTCACTAGTGCCAAAAAGTAAGCGTGCCAGCAAGGTCAGAACATGACACTGCCTTCACTATAGAATTAAGCTGCACGCATCATTTCCTATAGAACTCGGAGTGAACGCTTACGAGATATAAAATCTTTACAACTACTAAGTTTTGATGTACTTCCTCCCGATGTTCGATAAGTCCTCGGCAAACAGAAAGGACAAGCTCATTTGCAAGGACCTGCCCGCAAATTCTGTCTTCAGTGTTTTCTTAGGATGTATCAAAATTCGTAGCTGCCAATTTGCAGTAGTCGTGCGGCTTTCCAACTCAATATGTTAACCACATTGCATGAAGATTCGTTTTCGAGGCAAGACAGCTTTACTTTCAATTATACCAGTAGCTTGCACAATCAGATTAGAATGCACACGATGCTCATCGCAGGTTTCTCCGTATTTGTTTTATTGGCTTTGGGATAGCGATTCACTTTTGGCAAGCCTCATGCAGCTACGACACGATATCATGGCGTTCGAAATGGTAGAAATATCTACAGAAGATCTTTCAGTGGTCGTTGCTATCTCGATTCGCGGCCTTCTTTTCCCATGCAGCGTCTTCGAACCTCACTCGGCCCAAGGCCAACAATCGACAGCCACTTTGCAATTTCTATCCATTCCCTTGGAATGACATGGAATTTGGAGCTTGGCGAGCGGTGTACTCAGGAGCTCAATGGTGCTGGCACAGCGATGCAGGACCGAACTTAATTAGCGCGCGCCCACACTGGAATATCTTATGACGCCTTTTTGATCATGCAACTGATCGACATGATCTTCGGCGGAGATTTGTCAGCTAAACTTTCTTTACTTTCCCAAAAACTCGCATATTTAGCCATTCTGTCGACCTTCACTTCGCCGCCATCGTTACCGAACGCCTAACAATTATCATTAACCGTCAAATTTGCGGTAGAATCAAATTACCTTCTGCGGCCCCCTTGATTATTGTCTCATGATATCCTTCTGACTGTTAGGATCCATTTTTACCCGACAGGTATTATCGTTTTGCCGATGATTCATGGTGTCATGGAATATTATTCCTTTATTCGATTATCGGCATTAAAAAAGTGCCCCCTTGCGACTCATTTAACCACAGGAATTTGTATGATCCTGTTGGGTCGAAGAACCCATCGCCTGTCACTAAATATAGTTCGAGTGCAGCGCAACCTGCTAAATTTCGAGCTTTTGCGACTGCAACAAAATGTTTCTTGTGCCAAGACGTCGTTAAAAAAGGATCTGCACAATCTTCGCGCTCAAAAGATTCCACTGTCCACCATCAACGCAAATAGCTTCTTTACTTGGTGTGTCTACATCTTGTAAACGAGTCCGAGACTCAGCATGTTGAGCATCATATTCGACATTTTTTCTCGTTACGAGATATAGAACGCCGACGGGGTGACATTTCTGAGCAGCGTTTTTTGGATATTTGAGTGCGCAGTTGACACATCACCGTTGCCCCCATCTCAGCAGAAATAATTACACAAACAATGCAGCCTTTGCGGTTTGAAAAGTCCACGTTCTAACGTATTGCTGCTCTTGTTGTCAGTCAGCATGGATCTACACAAGTCGCTTCTAATATCCATTTTTCTACTTCCTACAGCTCTGCTTTTTTGCCTTACACCAGTCTCAACAGGAACATCTTCAAGCCAACTTTTTACCTCAAGTCAAGAGCATTTTCACCGCTGCCTTATTCACATATACCCGAACGTTTCGTCAGTGGATTAGACCATCCGGTTTGGAGGGCATCCCAGGTCAATCGAAATACGACCGCAACAAAAAGAAAGTATGACGACGTCGTGAACATTGCGTCCATGAGCTTGTTCGTAGCTGAAAAGTAGGTCGCATAACCGTCAATTGCTTGCTATCACTGTTAAGAAAAGTCCCGACTTGGAAAACTTTAACGATTAAATCGGAGCTTGCGCCTTTGATGAAGGCGGATACAACGTTCGCCTTTCTGAGCTTTTATCGGACATACAATTCTTAAGTCTCCCCTCTATACCAATGTTTTTAGCTTAGTTCCCTAATTTGCCACCCGGTACCAGTCAACCGATCCCCTAAAAAGAACCAAGTGAGACCAAAAGCTTTTTTTTTAGGTTAAACCATCTCCCTCGATCTTAGAAAAGAAGTAACCTCCATTTCATGATTCGCGTCTCCTCATGCCGATACCTGCGTATCAGCTGCACTGAAGACGATCACCCGCTCTTTCGACGCTATTATGCCAGGTACGACACCAAAAAGTACTGTATAGCAACGCCCGAAGCAGCTGACACTGTTTTATGGCTGTAAAGGAGTAATCGAGAGCGTGGCGTCAAGGTTCGTCCTTCTGCGTTGCTTTAAAGCCAACTCGCATTGAATTTGACGTGACTTGTGTCAGCAGCTTCTGCGATGCTTCCCGCATTGCTGTCCAGAACATGTGCAGCGGTGCTACTGTGGAACCTCCATCCACGTTCTGGTGACATTCGCTGCCGTTGTGTCAGCAGCTAGTCAAAGGAATCTCGTGGTCTGCGCTCGCTTTGAGCCTTCAAGAGTGGTCTCTCTCTCGTCAAGTTTAGTGAACCTGGTCAATTTTGAGAGAATAGACGACGAGAACCAGCGCAAGCTTCAGCCAGGTGAAACTATCTCATTGCCGGAGAGTCTTCTGTTGGCTGAAGAGTATATGACGAAGGAAACGGTTTGGATTCGAGCGGACAGAGAAGGAGACATGAAGCAAAAGTATCAGGTTCGTCACTCCTCCTTTGTGTATCTCTGTTTTGACCCTTGGTCGGATGTTAATTGGTGCTCTTTATCTTAACAACCTTGTTTTGCTGAATTCGACATGCGTCAATGGGTGGATAAATCCCTTGCATTACATTTAACGCCAAAGGACGCTGTCCTGTTTGTACTCAACAACCATAGGTTCCCCAAGTGGCTTTACAGTTACAACAGTAGCATTACCAGGATGCAACGAGAGATGACACACCATCTGGTCGCCTATGTCTTCCACCTTACAGGCAATAGGTCGACGCCTAACGAGATGGATGCGATTGTACTCGCGCGCCACGAGTCGCCTGGGTTTTTACTCGTTTCTTATCGACGCTCAGGCAACACTTCTGGGTGCGATTTGCCGGCAATTGATGTGACAAATAGCAACATGTTCGCAGCCGTCGAGATTGTTTCACCCGGTGTATGTCCGTCGCCATCCGATGATTTGAAAATGAATTTAGTTGGTCGACCAGTTTCTGAAACATCGTATCAGAAGATGAATACCATTCGATTAGACACAAGCCAAGGACAGCTCCAATTTTCAAGTAATCATCGGCGCTTGAAACAAGAGGAAAAAGGGCAGCAGAAAATGCAGTCCGAAGCTAGAAGAAGCTCCGTCTCCTCATTCATCGAGACTACCAATGATACTTACTCATGGCAGCGAGACACGAGAGCCAGAAATTGTCGATTTCAAGAAAAAGGTCAGCACCTACTCATTTTATGGATCTTCATTCAAAGTATTTCACTGAGCGACCTTAAAATCTCCACCGAGTCGATTACTGAGCATATTTGCTCACATTGGTTAAGAGCAGCAGCTATTCTACGATCGCCATCGCCAAGCTCGAGCCGACAGCTCAAGACTGTCGTAATCTCTTTCCTGAGTGAAATTTTTGGACATCAACCAGGCATCAATTCGACAGTGCCTTTTGCAACAGAAAGGGATACCCTCCAAGTGCCTGCGCTTCTATTTTTCCGGGCAATGTCGTCACATTCCGTACAATGTCTTTTGCATTCCGCATGTTCTTTCATCAATGATGAGACGAGCAAAGCAGAACTCCAAATACGATTTGTCCTGCTAGTATCGGATTTGTACGATGCTATGGGTGATGTGCTGCAAGAAGTGAGTGCACAGACAGCAGGTCTATCGCGAAGACACCAGAAGAGTCTTTCGCTACCGGCATTGGTTGATGATGTGCTATCGCTTGTGTATGGTCAGCCGCGTTTTCATCGACTTCGATCTCAAGTCTCAGCGCTACTTCTCGACCAGCAACTATATGTGTTCGAAGCTCTGAACGGCGTGTTTCAGGTGTTCACAGCTGTGGTACGAGAGAGACTTATCGCATCTGCAACTTTATACAAAACATCAACACGGCTCCAGCATTCTTTTCGGAGAAACCGTTTACTGGAACTGTGGAACCATTGCTGGCTGCTAGAGCCTCGGTCGGTGAATATTGTCGATGCATCGCGGGGAGATTGTGCTCATGACATGCGTCTAGTGGATATCGTGCAAATTTGGTTTGAGTTCGGCTGTGTGGATGTCACCATCAAGGACGATATGTCCTCGATATCGTTACGATCCGCCGTTTCGTTTTTAGATCATACGGCGGTTGCTCCAATGAAGTTAGTACTGGACGGGAAGTTGCGTTTGTTCCGTGTGTTGCCTAGTGGCGTGTCATCCATGATCCCAACAGCAGGGGGGTGGTCAATCGGCGACTATACGGCTATATTTTTGGCAGACGGAAACGCGTTGAAGGTGAATTTCTTCTGTTTCGCTGAAGAAAAGGCTGGGGCGTGTGCCCATCGTCCCGTGGACTCTCAAGACCTGGAACCGTATATTTATGCGGAGGTAATACGGCTGCGACGAGTGTGCATTTCGATTCGACTAGAAGAAAATTCGAATCACGACGGAGTCACTTCGACGAACCTGTTTGCTGTCGTGCAAGGAACCACCTACGAATCGATATACTCGCCGTCTAGCCAACGGGTCGATGGACTCAAGTTGTCAGAAAGGACAGTTCTTGAACGGGCTGTAATGTGGGACGAAGTCGAATGGGAACCATTATTGGAGTTTCAAGCGGAATCTGTTCCTTATATCATGTAGATTGATTCTATTCGTCTTGCAAAACTTGAGATTCATGTATGCCTTCATCTCGTGTATCAGTGGTGCTAAAGACACACTGCAATCAGAATGCAGATCCGGACATCGAAACTTGATTACATCCTACCTTCCACCATTTATTCCATTAACGAAGTAACAATTCACACAAATGATTTATGTATGTATTCGATGCAAACTGGCGACGTTACGTTAATGCAAGGAGAAGATACTATGTGCTAAAATTAGCACAACTCTAAGGACGTCACACGAGATACAAGTGTGGGGAACGTATTTGGAGCAGCCAATTGCGACTAAATAGGAGATGGTTTGCATTGGCAGCAATAAATGCAGGACATCGTTGCTGTCAGTCACGCAGTATGCCTTCGTTTTTTTGTGATCTCTGGTTGAACTATAGCCTATGCAGCATAAACAAACAAACTAGTGTGGTGATAGGTATTATCCGTAAGAGTGTGTGATTTATGTAAGAACTTTCTTCTACAGGCTCTACGTCTAGTGGATGCATATCCTGTGACGTGGCGAACAGCGTCTTTATATGTGACGATACGTGGAAAGGTATTGAAAGAAAGTTTTAGCGCTCAGTAGATTGAGCGCCAGTTGAAATGTATTATAGGTCCAAATGCGAGTTGTCGCACTTAAATGGTATCTAGTCACGTGCGCGAAACATGGTTCTCAGTGTCTGCCGCGTTCAGCCGAAGTGCACGGCTGCTCCTTTACACCTGTGGGTAGTCTTTTGTTCTCTGTCGGCTCCACTGTAAATTGCATTAGGACTTCTATATTCGGTTGCTTAGTAAGTGGAACTGGGTCGATGGCGAAGGCCGTGTTTCGCTCGGGGATGGGTCATGAGTTTTTCGTAGCCAGTAGTATTATTGTGTGGCCTTTTTGCGTTTGTCATGTCACCTTATTGATGATGCTTAGACGATCGATTCATCGATGTACAAGAATTATCTGTTTGTGTGGAAGAACATCATCCATCTACCATAACGCGATCATTCTCATCCTAGCAACTGGTTACGCTGGCTCGATACTTTGGGCGTCACGAAGAGCAACTATATTTAAGCCCTCCAGTGAGGAACTCTTCGCCCAAGGAAGGCTAAAAAGAGCCTAAAGGAATCCGCACTCAAACGCTTTTACAAACAACTTGTTGATCTTAAGGTAATATAGGACTGACTGCAATGTGCATATACTGTAACGGGCTAAACGTTACACGGTTCGTTAAGTGTCGAATACTTAACGGGTAGGCCTAAATGGGTACTTGATACCTTAGGCCTGCCACTTGGGTGCGGCACATAAATATGTCCCACCCTCATGAATGTGATATCCATGGATGGATTCACATTCAACGGGGATGACGCCAGTTGGGACTAGGCGTCATGGTGACGCTTCAGATAAACGTCATCAGCGAGCTCAAATATATTAAGCTCGCACGTAAGGACACGCTTTTAAAGAAACGCGTATCCAATCTTTGCATAATCAGCCAATCAGTAGCTAGATTTATATTTAGTTATATTTTATTAAATATAAGTCAGTCTTGAATTTACTAACTATCGCCCACTGCACACGAGAAGCTTAATAAGCTTATGCGTGACGTAAGTGAGGCACTTATTAGTTGTTCGTTGCACGGACCGCTCTAAGCGGCCGGAAACAGATTGGTTCGACGCTTTAAGCGGCCGACAAACGCAATCACCACCGCACGCGGAGGTAAGTCGGTATAACCGCTTCCTTGCGCTGCTTGAAGGTGTGCCCGCGTACTACGTGGCAGCTACTTTACGAAGCGCCCGTCTACATATGCTGCACTAATGCCATTCTCAGACAATCATTCCCGTGCTAATACCAATATCTGCATTGGCTTACCTTATATTCAAAGTAAATGCGGTGTCCAACACTCCTTATTCTAAACTCAGTCCGTCAATCATGAGAGTTTTGCTTAGTTTAACCGATCATAACATAAGACTTCTCAAGCCTGTGTCTTGCCAGAGGTTTCTTCATATTGTCGGATGAGTTGACATCGATCTTGACCTTCCACACATTTCCGTTTTTAATCGCCACTTAATCTTGCACGTAATGCCTTCAAAGCTCGATCTGCGGCTGTAGGTTGGATTCATTTCCATTACAGAGGCGGCTAGTAGACGGGCACTTCGAAGACGCTGCCATGTGATTCTGGCAGATACCTTCAGGCACGAGCGAGGGAGGGGTAAAATTATCTTTCGCGTGCGTGGTCTGAGTGTCGACGCCGAAGCGTCCGCACACTAAGGTTGCCGGTCGCGTTAGCGAACCGCGCAAAAACCTCTAGGGCAAGTACCTACCTGTTCGCGAAAGCTGTATTTGTTATACCTGCGCACAGTATATATCATGTAGTAAATTCAAGACTGAATTTTGTTTATTAAAATTATTACTAAATACATATCAAAAAGATCATTGGTAAATGAGTAATGTTTGTTGCTGTAGCGGAGTAATACAGCTCTTTAGTCAAAGGAAGACTTTTAGGCTGAAATTCTCTTAGTTCTAGAGAACTAAATAAATTTTGCGGCTAAAAGCCTCTTAGGTTTTAGGAACTAATTAAGTGACTGAAAAGTCACCCTGTTCTAAGGATTTAGGAGAGAGAATTTTAGTCTGCAAGCAATAAGCTTAAGGTTCAGAGAACCAACGCACAGAGTGCAAGAACAAGCTAGAAGCTTAAAAGTTCAGAGAACCAACGCACAGAGTGCAAGAAGAAGCTAGAAGCTTAGGGGTTTAGAGAACACACGCACGAATTGCACAAGAGAACAAGTCAGAACGACTGGCGATCTTTAGCTCAAAATGAGAACTGATTTTATTTATGCTTTAAAATTTTGTGACTAATCCTACTTAAAGTACCGTACACTCGATTAATTACTATAATAGTAATTATAATATGCAGACTTCGTTATTGAACGATGTGTCGTCCAAAAATTGTGCATGGTGTACTTAGTACAGCGATATCGATCATCGAATCCTAATCGATAAGATACGGTATTACCGAATACCGTATCTTTAACGCTCATACTTAATACCTCTCTAAAGAGAAGTATCAAAATGCATTATATGCAATACAAGGGGACTTCAACCGTAAACTTTTGAAATGATGTTCCAACTGTCGTGTAACCCCGTTACACTCCCCATCGCCAGACGGAAGGTACCACATAACGTCACTCGACATGATTCTCTAAGAGGTTGCGAAACACGAACCATAAACCTAACGGTTTATCATAGTGTACACGCAAATGACACCCCCTAGTCATGAACCTAAGGCATTAAATGATCTTTCTATAGGAGAGTTAGAGGTAGCTGTGATTAAGGAAGTGATACCAGCTTCCTCGAAGACTATGAGTCTAAGCCCAGTCCTAAGGGTGAAGACAAACCTTGACGCACACCTAATCCGTTCCCAGAAAGTGGTGTTGCTGGCACAATAACCTCAATGCGCTCGACGCCTGGCGACACGCCTCCTTCTCCGATCACGAACCCGCTCGATGAGCAACAGAAACAGCAACTACAAGCGACGGCAAGCTCCGCATACCAAGCAAAGGCCATGGCCAAACACAAAAGACATTTAGACTATGTCTTTGACCCACGATATGGCAAAGAGCGTCTTAAAGAGGCCACGGCGATTTGCTGGACACATAGGAACATAGGACCGGAGGCTAAAACGCTTGAGGATCTTGCCGCGCGAGTGGCTCTTCGCCAAAGGTATTTGGATCCAGTCAGGACCACTCCAATCCAATGCAAGGAACGTCTGGATTGGCAAACACGTGGTGCATCTATTTCTCCCATAGAAGGGGTCCCTTTCTTGCTGTTCGAATGTGAAACGGAAGATGAAGACAATAGTGCCTTTGTCCAATGGTCACATTTTGTGCGGCGTTTGACCAGCATATGAGCTCTACGCGCCAGCGCCAGTGTGACAGACGTTCTTCTGGAACGCAAGATGTGATTTGTTTGCGCCAAGATAAAGGCCCGAGGCCAATTTTTGAGGAAACGAGTCCGCTATGCGCCAGCCATTCAAGATTCCTGTAATTCGACTACGTCTGTAGCCGCGAGTTCACAGCAAGACCCGACCGTGAGATCGCCCACTTCCCCCATTACTGGTTAGAAGCGCCGTCGCCAACAGGTTGGCTTTGCGCACGACGTTCAAAAACGTCCACGGAGTATGGGCAATCCTGCCGCAGGGGAACCCTTGAACTCCCATGAGTTCCACGACTCGGGGTATCCACGCCACTTCACCAGATACTGGGTTTGAACGTGGT